CAAAGGTTTATTATTGAATTTCACATTATGAGCGATAAGATGCCTAATCATTTCTTTCTGTGAATCTGAAACTTTACTGAACTTGAAAGCTTTTTCGATAGGAGCCAAAATCTTTGGAATCGAGGGTTTACAGGTTTGTGAGAAGTTTAAATTATATTTTAGAAATTCTCTCTTGTTCTTCTGAAAGACTAACATTTAGAAATATTAACTATTGGCTTGATGTTTACAATGGGAAGATTTTTTGAACTACTTGAACTGGAAGATTGTAACAGAAGTTTTTCGAATTTAACTGCAAGGGCGTTTTTATGACGGTTAACTGCATTCTCCGTTCTAGACCAAGACTTTTGTTCAAGGGCAGTGAATTTTGGATATGATTTAGCGAGTTCCAGATGAAGCTTATAGAGTTCACATTCAATTTTGGACAATTGTTGACGTGTATCCCTTATGACGGACCGAAGTAAGGCAAGCTTGCAATTTAACAGAATTCTTGAAACGCGACTCGAAGATTTTTGATTAGATTTGATTTGAATAAAATTGGGGATCAATTTTTTACATTTACATTTATGTAAAAAGTCAAGATGATTCAGGAATTTTTGCCGTTTCAGGCGTAATTTAGTGAAACGATTAACGGATGAAGGCATGATAAACAATACAGAAAACAATCAAACTAAATTAACTAAATAATAATAATAAAGCACACACAAAACAGCAGAAAAATCCCTCACTGAAATTAATAGAACAACAAAACGTTTGTAAGCAAAATGCATGAAATCAGACAAGCAAAGCACAATATCCCAAAATATACAAATTATAAACACAACTTGAAAATTGCAAAAAAGTATTTACCGAAACTCATGCAATCACAAAATGGCGGCCACACCACGTGCAAAAAAGAAAAAAGCAAAAAAAATAGCCTGTTTGGGGCTTCTATAATTAAGACACTATAACACGCCGAATAAATACTAATTCATCAGAAGTCAACACAACAAAATCAGCGTTATATTTACAAAATTTTCACAGGACTAGTTTCGATGGTTTTACCGAACCACCATCTTCAGCTGCAAAACCGCAAATGAACCAGATAGGAAATAATGATTAGATAAGATAAGAAGGCCTGGACAAGAAAGAATAAGCAAGTGGCGCCCATCTGTTGGTTGATGAAACCAGAACTAAAACATAATTTCTTTAAAGGCCGAAGGCAAATTTGGATTGGGATTATTAAGGATCGTTAACTAGAACAGAAAAAATTTTTATGAATGTGAAATGCCTCTAGAAAATCCAGTTCTCCAATGGAAGATGTTTTTTTGAATAATTTTGGCAGCAGAAAAACTGAACGTGTGGTTTTCGGACCAACAATGTTGAGCAACAGAAGACTTCTTGTGTTTCCTTTTTTCTAACATATGCCTCATGTTCCTTGACGCGAAATTTTAAGGCTCTCTTAGTTTGGCCAATGTAAATTAAACCACACTGGCAAGGAATCCTATAAATACCCCAGGAATTCATATCCGGAATATTCTCCCATCAATAAAATTCCGAGTTCCATACTCAAGGACCCCATTCCGCATATGAATTGATTGGAATCTACAGAAGATATTGATTGGAATTTTAATTTCTACCCGATTTCCAACTTTTGGAGGACTGTGAGAAGCTAGGGTTAAGGCTTTCAACTACCATTTAAAGCACTGAGTGGATAATGCAAAATTAACTTCAGAAGAGTTTCTTAGAGTGACAAATCAGAGTGAAGTATTCAACAGTTATCCTATTTCTCCTTTGATAATGGATCTAGATGATCTTGAAGTGTTAATGCCTGTGCATTTTTTGATAGATCATTCAAACGGCTGAGAAAGATTTCAGTAATCTGCTAGGTAATAGATTTTCCCATTGGCAATGGGTAACGAAATTGATCAATTCATTTGGAAAAGTGGTCATATACTTAGACAATTTGTAACAGAGGAGTAAGTGGATGTTTGGGAAGAATAATGTGAAAAGAGAAACTTAAGATATCATTAACCCTTTGATGCGCGCTATATTATTTAAAAAAATTTTTTAACTAAAAACACTAGAAATCGAATATTATGATCTAGAGGCAAATAATATATGAATTAAAAAAAATCTACTCCCGCCCATTAATCTGTGGGTGGTGGTTTCGCTGTAAAAACAGCGCGCATCTAGGACTTTGAAACTTACTGAGTCAGTAGGAAAAAACAACTTACCTTTTTCCGTATGCATTTCCAATGAATAACGAAATTTGCGAATAAAAAAAAAAAAAAAAAAAAAAAAAAAAAAAAAACTGGATTTAAAAATTGCATCAAATATAAATTTTTTACTTTATTTTACAAAGTATATCATCAGAAAAAAAATTATAATTTATGTAATTTTTCTGCAGCGGTGAAAACATAAGAACGTACATAATAAAGAAATTGGAATAAATAGATGGATAAAAGCCATAAATATACCCATGGGTTTTGCATCTTCCATAGAGGTAATTTCGTCAGTTGGGCCATAATCCTCAGAAAATTCGGGAATGGATTTCACTACATTCTGCATTTTATTCCATGTTACATCTGCAATTCTGGAAGGACCTGGTAAATTTATATCATCATTTTCTGACTGATCATCACTTTCATCTTCTATATTTCCATAAGCAGGAGGGAAGGGGCTAAAGGAGTATTCCTTCTCCTTCACTTTCATCCTCAAAGACCACTGATTCTGGATCTGAAGGTAATTCTTCAAGTAACGCTAATGCATCAGCTATTTCTAACCCTTTGCGAGGCATTTTGAATCTCAACAGTAGAAAATAAAATATTGGCAAAATATTTTAAATTTAATTAAATTTTTTCATGATTTCTATTTTTAATCATTCAAAAATATATTTGCAATTTTTTGGAACCACACAAAATAATTTAGAAAATCACAGTACTAGCATAGAGAGCAAGCATGTTGAAAGCAGAGAAAAATCTCTGGAACGAAAAATATTTTATGGGGGCAGGTGCATGTATTGTTTGGTAATACAGTAACTTTGTGATTTCAAAACCCTTTATCTATATCTGGGTAAAAATAAACACTTCTATTTCAAAGCAGAAAACTTTACTATAAAGAGCAGTGGTTTCAAGGTGTGACCACCGAGCCTCTAGGGGAATGTGAGCATTGTAATGCAATGCTCTAGTGGGGCAGTGGTCGTGCCTTGAAACCACAAAGGAAATACCATAAATATACACAGGTTGTTTATATATGCAGTTTAATTATTGCTGTATTTTTATTGTTTATGATAGAAATAATGATGTGCGATAAAAAAATTTCAAATTTTAAGTTATTAATATAAATAAAAGGAAGTCATTTTGTCTCACTGAAAATGAATTTTAAAAGGCATCCGATTTAAAATACTAAGACCTAAAGAATGTATAGTTCTGCAGTAATTTTGCATTATTTAGAGGTAAAAGATAAGTAATCAATCAGTTTTCACTCAAACAGTTTGGAAACAAGAGCGGGAAAAATTTCGAAAATTGGTGGTTTCAGGTCGCGAAGTGGTTCAGGTCACCACCTGTCAAAGGGTTAAGGAAGATAATATGCCAATTTGTAGCTGGTTACTGGGAAGAGTGGTTGATGTTTTCCCAGGAGGTGATTACAAAATATGAGTAGTAAATGTTACAATGACAAAACATTGTATACTGAAAAGAGTTGTTTTGAAGATTTGAATTTTGCCATTTAAAAATAATGTTGGAACATCTCAGCTACAACTACTAAACATTTATCTTTACGAGTAGTTCCAAACTATCCTGTGATTTGTCATACCTCACTGATTTTCTTTTCTGTTTATTTAACCTAATAGGTTAGGGCAGGTAAGAGTATGTTGCATCAAGAGCAGTGATGTTGTGAGATTTTTACTCACGTATTATTGCAAAGATTCGGTTAGAAAGTTATGGGCAGAGCTTGCAGTGAAGGAGCTCAGAATGAGAGAGAAACCACCAACAGTCACACCAATTGAGCTTTGAAGTGAACTACACATCACATTGGGGTAAGAAGGAGGCTATGATAAGAAGCGTAAAACTGAAGACGAGACCCTGTGTAACCTGGAGTATACTCGCTACAATAAAAGGATTATAGTTCATCCCCATGTGATGTCTGAATTTCATTTTCGAATCAGCAGACATATAAAATAACACATGTAGATACAAACTGCAAAGAAAAAATCTCTTTGATATGACTGTCAAACAATGATTGTTGGGGAGAAGATAAATTTAATCTACCTGCTGATACCAAAAACATATTTTATCACTAAAAAGCCACCAACGGATTATTGATAATATATCAGCAGACATTGATTAATATCCAAGTACTATGGTTAAAAATAAAACAATCGACTAATACCTAAGTACACTATTTTGGTTAAAAACAAGCAGATATAAAAAATTTTCTGCTTTTGTAAATTAACCATATTTCCCATATCCACAAATGCTAGAACAATTAAAAAATAGTTCAGTGTAAAAATTAGCATAAATAAAGAAGAAAATATCAGCAATTGCAGTTTCACTGCAACTAGTCCGAAACTGTCCAAGTGTTGTTATGATAAACACAATGAAAGTGTTTTTACATGAAAATCAAAATATGAGTTCAAATAAAGAAAGATGGGGTTAGAACAGAGTTTTCCATGTCTTCAACAGGAATGGAGTGGAAGTTACATGATTAATCCACTTATTGAGTAAACAGATTTCCAAAGCTTTTAGAAAATCCAAATTGAAAAGTGAATTATTGCGAGATTAATTCATCTGAAGCCAAATTAAAATAGTAGTTTGTAGAAAGCAAATTAAAAGCATAGTAATTAAGTAAATAGATTACCACCCAGAACTGATATTGTTATATAATGATATTTTGACTAACTATTGCAATTTTTTTTAACTTATTCAATTATAAAGCGTGATAAAAATTTTCTTTTTTCAAAAGAACAAAATATTGAAGAATGTATTTCTAATTAGATATAACAGTTTAAACATTCACTTTACCTTGACAACACTTAAATATTCAACAATAGCAGATCGAGCAGCTGGAGATAATTTTCTGGCTTCTTCATCACATACCCAACAATGGATACCTCTTCTACCAGAATAAACCCATAAAAGGTGATTAAATCCAAAATCCTCTAAAGAAATGTAAAAATTATATATTTTTAAATATTACCATAAATAATTTTTGAGTAAAAAATATAGTCACATGACTTAGATAACAATAAATTTATGACATATTTAGATTTCAAAACACAAAACTCTTTCCAAACTAGTACATAGTTCATAAGGAAATATGAACCTTTACAATTATAAATTCATAAGAATATTTATAACTATTAAAAAGTGAATTAAAACTTCAAAAATGAATGTAAGGTTGCATTTACACAAATACCTCGTGTTCCCGACGAAAATGTTGCACGAATTCAAACTACTTTCTAACGTAGTCCTTCAAAATCAACTTGTTGTGCCAGTCATGAGTCACAACTGCCTACAACAACAATTTGGCATGCTTTGAGACGTCAGTTGGTTATTAAGCCATACAAGTTACATTTGTTACAAGCTCTATGACCTGATGACAAACACGAACATGTGGCATTTTGTAACAAGATTATTGATGCTATTGACAATGATAACACTTTTGCACAACGCATCGTGTTCAGTGATGAAGCAACTTTTCATGTTAGTGGTCATGTAAACAAACACAATGTTCGAATTTGAGGCCTAAAGAACCCATATGCAGCCATTGAACATGTAGGAGATTCGCCCAAAATCAATGTGTTTTGTGCGATATCCGGATCATCTGTTTACGGGCCATTCTTCTTTGATGGAAACATGGTTAACCGTCAGCAGTATCTCGTTATGTTACAAAACTGGTTGTTTTCGAGGCTGCACGAAGACAACTTCATTTTTCAACAAGACGGCCTCCCCTCACTGTGGTCTCCAAGTGTGCGATTATCTGAATGAAACTCTACCGAACCGTTGAAATGATCGTCAAGGAGCTGGCAACTTAGCATGTCTTAGATGGCCTCCATGGTCACTGGATTTGACACCCTGTGAGTTCTTTCCTGTGGGGCTTCATTAAAGACAATGTTTATAGGCCACCACTCCCACAGAATCTGGAAGAGGTGAAGAACCGGATCCGTACTGTCATAACATCAGTGACGACAGACATGCTTGCCCGAGTATGGGAGGAATTTGAGTATCGATGTGATATTGTTCGTCTCGCTGATGGAGGCCGTAATGAACATCTGTAATCTGAGCTTGAGAGGTTTCTACATATGTGTGCAAAGTTTCATATTCGTATGTCATACATTTAATAAATATATGCATTCAAAATGCGTATATTCTTTTTGAAACACGCTGTATTTACAGTCAGTCGTACATGCCTAGAAAGAATATGTTTACGAAGCATTTTGAAAAGTATTTTTTCCTCCAAGCTATCACTTCCTTAAAATTCCAGATATAAGTAATTATCCGATGCTTGAAGTTCTTTTATCATTTTAAAGACAGAGGTGACAGGATAGCTCCCAACAGGATAGTGGTTAGTGACTCCGACTGCCATACCGAAGGGCCTGGGTTTGAATACTGGAGATGTTTGTAAATGTATAGTGTCTGCATGGAATGGGTCTAACACTCTAAATATGCGGTGAGCCAAAAGTCCTCTCGAAAGGTTAATGGTAGGGGAAGAAGGGTGGGATACCCTTGGACCCGTCCCTCCATGGTTCTCTCTCTTAATACTGGGGGCAGAACTGAGCTAAAGTTGGGCTGTCGTATATAAGTGCCAACAGCGGGTGCATTAGACTCTTTGCCACAATGAATGTCAAGGGCTTGTGCTGCTCTTTGTCAGACAAGTGAGAGTGGTAATAACAACAACAAGACAGAGCTAAAGTCCTGTAGTATTTGCTTAAGAAGTTTACTTCAATTTTTAAAAAATCCATTTTTTTTTTAAGAAGCAAAGAGTACAGAATATCATCAAATACAGAATGTATATACAGAAGTAAATTCTACATATTTTTTTATTATTTACATGAATTTTTACTGCTGCACTTTCAAGTTAGTTTAAAATTCAAATTCATTTATGAATTGATTATGACACAGGCTCAGTTTTAATATGCAGTATTAATCAATGATATTAAGCAGTCATAACTAAAAATAATAATTACAATAAGTAACCATAGCTAAAAATTACCAAACTTTATTTTCAAATTCAACACTATGTGCACAAGCTACATCAATGAGCTTTTATTGTTCTGTTATCGGGACTGGATTCAGAAATGTATGAATGTATGGCACATGTGTATGTATGTGCATATGTATACACACACATACTTGTGCTTATATATATGCATGCATACATGAACACATATATCAATACATTTCTGGATCCAGTCTTGATAACAGAACAGTACCCAATGAGCCTGTGCACATAAATTCTCTTGCTTATTTATTTGGTTTTAAGACACAGGCTACATCAATGAGCTTTAAAAACTGCATGCTGCCCATAAAGTGTGGTTTTGATAATCTGTTTTTTGTGGTATCTTTCAATCACAATTGTTTATGTACATTTTTTGCTTCTGACAAAAACATACTCATCATCTTTTACAGCTTGTATTTTATTGAATTTAATGCTGAACAAAACTTGACATTTATTAAATTGTAATTAGTCCCGTGATGGGTTAGAAATAGATTTCAGAGCTACTACACCATCAGCAGTAATATGCAAACATGTTTACACATGCACACTTAAAAAGAGGGTAATTTACCAATACCAAATTTTCCTTCTAATCATCAACTAATTATCAAGTTTAATTATAAATCATAATCTTTTATAATTTAAGTGTATATAAAATTTTAAAAAGCTTATATTCAAAGCATAATTTAAAACTTCACAAGTATACTTCACACATTGAAATCACTAATGATTTTGACTTTTCAGACAATACAAAGTCTTCAATCCAGACGTCCATAATCCGGAATGATCTAAAATCTGGACCTCAAAGCTACAAACTTAAGTTAAACTTAACTAAACTCAAAGCTACAAACTGCATGCTTTTACGCATGCACATAATACGTTTACGCATGCGCATTTAATGTATAACGGACGGTATAAGCTAGGCTAAAATCATCTAATTATCTATTTCAGTTAATGTTGCAGACTGCGTTGTTCCTTAATCTTCTAATTGGATCCGGCTTATTATTTTTTGCAGACTGTTTGATCAATTTTACAAAAAGTAAGCTTGAACTTCCGATTATGTCAAAAAAAGTTTCTGATTCTGGAGCTGCCACAGGATCTACAAAGTGAAAGCATGTTTCGATGTCCACCAAACAAAAAGTGGAATTGCTGCAAAAAGTTGATAAAGGCATATCCTTTGTTTCTCTAAGCATTCCGAAATCTGTTTATCAATTTCATGCTGCTCTGACGGGGGGGGGGGGAACGTCGCGGTGCACAATGAACTGGAAGTTGATCTGTTAGCACTATCCTCATCTTCAGGGCAGATGTTTTTATTTTATTCGGCTTATAATTCCTTACTAAACGTAGTACTTCATCTCGATGTACTCCGTCTTTGATATGATTTAAATCAAATTCCTTATCATTATAAATATCACGAATACATATCAAATAGTTTTCTGGTTGCAATTTTCTAATTTCGACTATGCGTAAAGTATGCTTTACGAATGCGCGCATTAAAAGAAATGTTTAATAAAGTAAACAAATATTAAACTTTTTTTTGTTTGTTTGTTTTGTAAATTTTGATACCCTTTAGATCATAACTGCTCTTTATTTCATAAATTATGGTTTCATATTTTTAATTTTATAATTTCTGCATGCCATCTTACCAGATTTAAATTGATGATCTATAATCTCCTAAACCCTAATCTGGAATCGCTGAAGTCCCGACGAGTCCGGATGAAACACTTTGTACTGTATAACACAATGTTTTACGGATTGTGTTTTCCTAATATAGACAAACTGCTTTTAAACATTTGGCCCTGTGAAATTCTAAGCTTACAAAATTTATATTTTAATGATGCATGCATAAATTTTAGTAATTTAACAGGATAAACTAAGATTTTTATATTTTAAGCTATACATGTTATCTTCTTTTCATCGTGGAAGTCAACAACACATGCAATTACAACAATGTCTACTTCTTATAGTTTAAAATATAAAACTGTATCCTGAACTTGCAGTACCATTACTCATAACGATTAAAAAATAATAATACAAAGTAATTTGTGCATTTCCAATTACATATTCTTTCAATTTAATATCTAGTTAAAAGAATTAATCTTCTGCCATCTACATACCCAAATTTTTCATTAATTTTTATGATATTTTTTTATTATGTACTTACTACACATTTTGACAGGATTTTTTAATAGCAAAAAATTTCAAGTTATAAGAATAGTATATAAAAGATGAAAAAAAAAATATGCAGGTATACAAACCATGTAGCAGGTGATGGCCAATAGGATCACCAACTATTGTATACCAAAAAGCATGACAGATGCACAATGGAAAAGTACTATTTGTACTGGTTAACAGTTAAATTTCTGTTCTATATGGGGCATTCAAATAAAAACAGGAAGTTATTATTTTAACTTTATATACTTAATGTAATGAAATGAATTACCCACTGTTCCTCTATGTAGTCTGTAATGCATTTGCTCCAGCACCCAGGGATATTTCTAAATTCCAGAACAACAAAAGCTTTTTGACTGCATGTTGGCCCATTCTTGCTCGTCAAACTTACATTTCTCTCCTTCTAAAATTTCTTTAAGTGGACCAAAGAGATAAGTCTTGTTATGCTAAATCACATCTAGACTAATTTTCAAGTTTCATACAAAAATGACACCTTTGTTAGTATAAAAACTGATGATTATTTATTGCATAACACAGTTGCACTAAATACCTTCTCTTCTGACGTGTCAATTACAACTAACAGAGGTGATGGAAAGAGGAACTAGCACTACTTTATGTAAGTTCAAACATACACATGTTTACCCAATAATTATGTTCAACTCTTCACAAGAATGAAGTACAGTCAAAAGTCGTTAATCCGGACTCGTCGGGACTTTGGCGATTCCGGATGATCGATTTTTCCGGATTATAGATCATCAGTTTAAATCTGGTAAGATAGCATGCAGAAATTACAAAATTAAAAATATGAAACCATAATTTATGAAATAAAGAACAATTATGATCTAAAGGGTATCAAAATTTACAAAAGAAAAAGCTTAATATTTATTTGTTTACTTTATTAAACATTTCTTTCAATGTAAGTTGTTTAAGTTGCTTCGTTTCATGTGATAATACTTTCTCTTTAATTCTATTAAACAGACATAATTTCTTGTTTAGTTACAAAGTTCCGCTGTTCAAGTCCTATAATTGCTGTGTCGAGAATACCGACTAATTTGTCAATCGAAATTTTTTCGTTTACAATAACCTCTGTCACTTTCTTCACTATCGGAAGCGAATTATAATGACGAGGAACTTGTTTTAAATCATATCAAAGACGGAGCACATCGAGATGAAATACTACATTTGGTAAGGAATTATAAGCCAAATAAAATAAAAACATCTGTCCTGAAGATAAGGATAGTGCTGACAGATCAACTTCCAATTCATTACGCACCGTGGCGTTCCCCCAGCCGAGCAGAGTGAAATAAACAGATTTTGGATTTCGAAACATACTTTCGCTTTAGATCCTTTACATATTAACAAATACATATCGGAAATTCTATTTGATATAATCGAAAGTTTAAGCTTACTTTTTATAAAATTGCTCTAACGGTCTGCAAAACATAATAAGCCAGATCCAATTTGAAGATTAAGGAACAATGCAATCTGCAACATTAACTGAATTAGATAATTTTAGCTTAGCTTACACCGTCCGTTATACATTAAACGCGCATGCGTAAACGTTTTATGAGCATGCGCACAAGCATATTCGCAGCCGTAAAGGTCTTACGCACGCACGTCAAAAGTCATTAATTCGGACACCCATAATCCGGAATGATCTATAATCCGGATTATGGGTGTCCGAATTAACGACTTTTGACTGTACGAAAATTCCAGTTTATATTTGAACATCACTATCTCACAATAGCATAATATTCTTGTAAAACTAAATATCTAGAAAAACTGTTTTATTTAAAACTTCAGTTTTAAGATTTTTCTTCATTATCAATTTAACATTTCCTTTGAATGTAATAGTTTGTATCAGATAAAATCTATGCAGAAATCAAAATATTAAAAGTATCTAGAACAAATACATTATTATTAGGCTAACTTAAAAAAGTATATAGTCAGTATGTTAATCTCCTATATAGAATTGCACAAACTAGGTATTGCACACTCCCTTGACTGTATCCATGTACACGACGACCTATTTTTAATTAAAAAAACATCAGAGGATTGCACAAAATTGGCGTTGCACACTCCCTTGACTTTGTCCATGTACACATCGATATATTTTCACTTAAAAAGTCAAAGAAGCACCCAGTTCTACAGTAGAGGCAAACAAAAATACATAATCTCAATAAACTACATTTTAACCAAACAATAAAATAACATAAAAAAGGTAAACCTCTTATGCATCTAAGCACTACACACAGCAAATAACCACTTACCTTATTTAGAAATGTCCTCGTCTTACGTCTGTGGCAAACAAAATTCCTTAAGAGCATCCAAAAACTTCCTAAAATTATCTTAATTTGAATCCATATATTGGTGTTGCCACATAAATTCACAAAAATAAGAGTTAAAAATATCCTCCATAGTTCCCGAATGTCCAGAAAAAGGCTACTAAGTAAACCTTCATTAACACAGCAGTCAATTAATGCCCTTTACCTCTTTCATTCCAAATCGTACAGAAACTTCAAATTAGTCTTACTACATTCAATCATTCTACCGTCTAAACAACAAAACAAGTAATGTACTTCCTAACCAACACATACCACAAGTTCTTACAAAACATCCCATAATTCAAAATTTATCGCAATCCTGCAACTGATTACGTCATAATAGGGTTTCCATAACATTCAACTACTCAGGTACCATAAATGAAACAACAACTTGACGTTAAACGAAACAACTTGCCGATAAATGAAACAACAACTTTGCGATAATACAAGGGGCACCCTTCAGTCTACTCTAACCAATTATAAAAACCTATACATACATATGCACAATAATTAATAAAAATAATAAAATTAAAACAAATTAGTACTTTATGACTTTACAGAAAGATCTTTATTTCTCCTTTTCAATTTATTTAACTTACTTATCTTAGTATTTTATAAAAAAAAGCTCATGAGAAAAGAAAAAAAGAAACATCTACCTCTTAGTGCTCGGTCTAAAATTTTCAGAGCTACAGTCATGAAAGGCCAGCATTTTTTGCATATATCAGCTCCACTACAGCAAGTTCTAACCTCATCATAATCTGTCATATCAATATCAAAAACCAGTTCTTTCTCAAGTGGATGAAAATTGGAAGCAGTTCGTTGTTCACTAGGCTAAGAGGGGGAGGAATCATATTAAAAAGAATACAAAAAAATATTTTACACTCATTTGAATAATTTTATTGATTTACAATAAAATTCCAAGTCAATTTGTAAATTTCATAAACATTATTGACTGAAAAAATTAATCATAATATATTACCTAATAATATCTTTCTTTGTCCCCACATTCACTACGCTGTACCATTAAAAATCTGAAAATTTTAGCTAATATTTCTTTATCCATATATATAATTAAAAACAAAATAATGCTGTATTGTTTGAATCATGGTAATAGCAACTAGCATCATTTTCCCTTCATCTGCATGCATATGAGAAACTATATATTGACCAAACACCTACATACTTCTAAAAGAGAACCACAAGGAATAAAATGCAATAAATACAAGCAAATGTAAATAATTGCATTAATTTGTAGTGTGTTGTCTTGAAGTTCTGAAAAAGTGCCCAGAAGCTTTAAGGATTAATGATATGTGAAGACTGAATGTTTCAAAATCCAAATTACAGAGAACTTCTAATCAACTGAGGATAGATTAACCAGGTTATGGATTAACTAGGCAGTATCTCCAAAAATAAATAAAATAAAATAAAAATTGTATGTCAAAAAATTGCAGTCACAGACTCTCAACATAAAACAAAACTGTCTCTTGAAAAGAAAACTGTATGGGGGGCACTTGGCGAGATTCCTAAAATTGCATTCGCCAACTTGGGCGATAGGCACTAAGCAATGGGAAGAGTGGTTAGGTTGCTAGCCCAGATGTTAACTAAGATAGGGAAAAGGAAAGGGATATTTTCTTTCGATATGGTAGATACTTTGTGTTGGGTGTCGTGACTTTGCATATAAATGTTTGTGCAGACGATCACGTGATTTTGTCAGTAGACATTTTGAATTCGCTGTTTAATTATTTTCTAAATAAATCAATTACACTTGTAATTAGAAAAAGATAATTTTATTTTTACACAAGAAAATTAAAAAACATGCTCCTTTTCCTTACTTATGGCTCACATTATCCCATGTGTATATTTACATATAATTAATTTCTAAATAAATTACACTTCGAATCAGAATAAAATATGCTCTTTTTCTAACTTATTGCTCGTATTTCCAGATAATTTCTAATTAGAATGAAAATTTTTCAAAATGCAATAAAATGATAATCAGATTTGCTAATAAGTTAGTATAAAATATTAAATAAATATTATTCTGCTGTTTTCTACGTCAAGCATTTTTCACTCATTTCTTTATATAGAGGATTTTTGTGGATTAAAAGTTGCGTATATCAGTAAAAAACTTATACCATTAGCCAAAACATGAGCATTTCTTTATTTTTTCACAAAAAAATGGGCTAAAGTGCAGAATCGCACACTTATTTGGCAGGTTGTGTTTGGCATTTTTTAAGAGATTGATAAATGCACCAAATGGTATCCAAGTCAATTTTGCCGTTCTAGAAGGCGGATTTCAGAGCATTTTCGCGCATGCCCAGTATGTATTTTGAATTGAGAATTTCTTGCGAGGCAAAATTCGGAGGATTTTCCCGTGTGCTCAGTATGTATTTTAAAATTTAGAATTTCCGATTGGTGTAGACGATAATAGATGGTAGAGGTGTTTATTATTATTTTAAACAATAATTCGAGAACATTTCGAGAATTCGTTACTTTTTGTTCTTCGGCTGAGCGGAGTGGATTACCCCTTTTCAGGTAAGTGAAAGTATTTTTATTTTTCAGTATTTTGTAACGATTTTTAGTTTTTAAAATTATGTTTTTGTAAGAACTAGATTTTCATATTTTAAAATTTTTTTTGAAGTGAAAGTATTAATTGTTCAGGGTTTTGTAGGATTTTATGTTTTTTAAACTTACTAGGTTTTTGAAACAATTTAAGTTTTTAAAGTTATTAGGTTTTTTTGAAAGGATTTCCAGTTTTAAAAATTTCCCAATTATTTGTTTGGCGCTTTTTACAAGAGTAAGAAGAATTGGATTTTTGTCAATTTTCTTTGACTTTTTAAGTGAAAATAGGTTGGTACATGGATAAAGTCAATAAATAAGTAAAATAGTACATGGATAAAGTCAAGACAGTGTGCAATGCCATTTTTGTGCAATTCTGGGATATTTTTTTTAAGTGAAAATAGGTCGATGTGTACATGGATAAAGTCAAGACAATGCGCAATGCCATTTCTGTGCAATTGTGGGATGTTTTTTTAAGTGAAAATAGGTTGATGTGTACATGGATACTGAGTTTTTGCAATTCTAAAAACATGTCAAGCAGTGGATTATTCTGCACTTTTTATAGGGAATGTATTTTAATTCTTCAGTGTTTTGTAACGATTTTAAGTTTTTGAAGCTCACTATGTTTTCTTAACCACGTTTGTTTTTTAAAATTATTAAGCAGTTTTTAAAGGATTTTCAGTTTTCAAAATTCTGCTTCAACTTTTATTTTGTATTTATTTTAACTGTTCGCCATTGTAAATGTCGCGCCTTGCGTAGTGTTTTCTGGAGACGTTGCGAATCCAGGAGACAAGACGCGAGAGCGCACCAAGTTGGCGATTTTGAAAAACGCGCCAAGCAGTGGGCGAATCTGCACTTTCACCAAAAATTGAATAAAAGTTACTTAAATTTGAAATTTGTATCTTCAAATCTTTGAATAAGATTTATATTTATATTTTTTTGATGTGTTACTCATGTTCATGTTTAATAGTACTAGTTCATATACATGTTCATGTTTAATAGTAATGAATGCAAAATAAACTGAAACTTCAAATAAGTAAAACATAGAAATCTTTGCATCATTGTATTTGCAACAAATGCATAACTGAAATTCATTTGCCGACCACATAAAATTGCTTTATGGGCTGCCAGTTTGCAACCACTGTTATAGACAATGTTCAGATTGCACAAAAATAATATTTTAGGATTTAATTTTTCATAGAATAAAGACAGACAACTTCAAATAACCTTATCCTATTTTATCTAATTGGTTTCTAAGCCATAGAAGCATTTGTTACAAATCTTGTTTCCCTGCAGTTATGCAATTCAGGATTACATTTCTTTAAAAAAAAAAAAAAAAAAAAAAAAAAAAAGAATAAAAATAACCCTCTTAACCTTATTAATCGAAATTATGTGCACAGACGAATCCGGAATGTAAAATATAAACTTGACTGGAGGACTGAATAGCCTGGAGTATATTTCGAGGATGCAATATTATTGTGGAAATGTATGTATATTTTTTTTATTTTAAACTTTCATCATTAACTATGTGATATACAGTACAAAGTCTTTAATCTGGACCTCAAAGCTACAAACTTTCTGCGCATATGCGTTTACGCATGTGCATAATACTTGTATGCATAATACGTTTATTCATGTGCATTTAATGTATAATGGATGGTATAAGCTAGGCTAAAATTATCTGTTTCAGTTAATGTTGCAGATTGCGTTGTTCCTTAAGCTTTTAATTGGATCATCTTATTATTTTTTTCAGACTGTTAGAGCAATTTTATAAAAAGTAAGCTTGAACTTTCGATTATGTCAAAAAGAGTTTCCTATTCTAGAGCTGCCAAAGGATCTACAAAGCGAAAGCATGTTTCGATGTCCATCAAGTGAAAAGTAGAATTGCTGCAAAAAATGGATAAAGACATGAAGAAAGTGACAGAGAGGTTAGTGAAAACGAAAAAATTTCAATTCACAAGTTAGTGGGTATTCTCGGCACAGCAATTTTAGGACTTGAATTTTGTAACTGAACAAGAAATTAAGTCTGTTTATAAAATTAAAGAGAAAGTATTAGCACATAAAACGAAGCAACTTAAACAACTTACATTAATTAAAAGAAATGTTTAATAAAGTAAACAAATAAATATTAAGCTTTTTTTTGTGTGTGTAAATTTTGATACTCTTTAGATCATAATTGCTCATTATTTCATAAATTACGGTTTCATATTTTTAATTTTATAATTTCTGCATGCCATCTTAGCAGATTTAAATTGATGATCTATAATCCGGAAAAACCCCTAATCCGGAATCACCTAAGTCCCGATGAGTCCGAATTAAAGACTTTGCACTGTATATCGCATTTTTGTGATCATTACTGCATTTATATAAAGAACATGTGTTCAAACATATATAACCATTATTATGGATAATTGTCCAAATTAATGGTAAGAATTGAAAAAGAAGTATAAAAGTTAATAATGCTGGAGTTACATATATCATAATATAAAATACTAAGATGGAAAAGAGTACGTAGATTTACTTAACAATAACTAATCATCTACAATTTGTTCTGTGTAAATGGTTTATCATCTCAATGCAAACGCTGAACTGTGCATTACGCGATTTTCGCCCAGCAGAGCTTTTTCTCTGACATTGGGCTGAAGAGGGAATGGTAAAAGTATATTTTAGGGTACCCCTTGTCGAAACTTGGATACCGAATTTGTGCAAGTCTTCAATTTGTTATTTTGGCTTGCATAACAGCACCACATACTTTCATAAAACTATCTTTTCAGCTTTAATGCTAATTAAAACCAAATGTCGTTCAACGTTAAAACACGTTGAAGATGCTTTATGTCCACCAGTGTCAAATATTGCATCAACATTTAATTTGCTATGCAGCAGAAAACAAGCACGTCAATCTCACTAGAAGTTTCTTCAATTTTTGTTTGCTTGAAATAAATCCTAAAATACTTCTTTTTATATGTATATTATTTACCAAAGAAGTAAATTACTTATAGAAGGATATTTATTTTTACATCTTTATTTTATATTTAACATCTAGGGTAGCGATTAAGAAAAGTTTAAGAAGCCCTGCTCCAGATTAAATAGCTTAAATAAACTAGTATTTTTCTGTTAATTTTAATATGGCATTACTTTTCCTGTATTTTTTAAATGCCTTCGAGTCAACCAGTAATGATTATCGCATAACCAATCCAGCTTTACATTATCTCTTTATACAGCACTTACATTGCCATCCAGCCGGTATAGTGATAAATGCCATACTGATGGGCAAGGCTCGAATCCCAGAGAAGGCACAGATGTTTGTATGTGTGTAATGTCTGTGCAGCAGGGGGGCACTAAAACACACAGTGAGCTGTATCCTCATGACAAGTCCTCATGACAGGCTAGTTGAGTAAAAGAGTTCGGAGACCCTTGCAGTTGCCCCTGGGGTGTTCTCCCAGAAAAATGGGGTGAAACTGCACAATTATTGCGGCAGAACTACACATGGTTACCAGTGTGAACTTCTGGTGTACTATCTACTTTAACCTCTACCTATTTAGGGTTTTAAACCTGATATTAAGAATAAATCAGATTTAGCTAAAAATTATCTGTAAGCAAATGTATGTCAAATTTATTTTGTTAGCATGATAATTAATATAATTAAATTCACGTTAGCAGAAAAGCATGATATTAAGCATATGCAAGTAAGAATTAGTTGTATTGTTAGAATATTTAATACAATTAAATTCAGGTTGTTAGAAAAGAATATCTTTAAGCATATGAAAATAAAATTTAGCACAGAAAAGTGTATTAAATATTAATATTATTACTGAAATAGATTTCAGATTAATTTTATTTTTATTAAAGAGTTTAAAAAACTTATATACTTGCATCTAGCAAATGCCTTCTTTTTATGGACCTGAAAAAAATCTCCTTTTCTTTTCAAAAGCCTTTGCCATTAAGGGGTATTACCCTAAAAGGATATAATCTTTAATTGCATTTACAGTTTCCATGAATGGAATGTTATGTTTAACTTAATGCTGAAATAGGTATTTGAGTAGGTGATTAGCTAGATTTTCCCTGTGAAGGAAAATTTTGTTCATAATTTTACTTTCAGAGGCCGCCTGTTTGATTGTGTGGACTAAGTACCTGCACCAGTTGCCAGATTAATGAAAATTATGGAATGATTAACAATCTGCACATAACATCCATGCCTGCCTAAGAATGAATATGTCTGCCATCAAATCAGTCGTAATAGTTATTCCCTTTGCCTTGTGCTTCTTATTCAGAATCTCTACTGATCTGTTATTTGTGATGAACATGTTTTTCATAAAGGCAATAACTGTTCTGAGACACACTACTGCAGACAAGCGTATGTCTCTGACAACTTACTTAATTAAAGGTACATAATTCCATCTATCCATTGTTAAAAATTTCAGAAAAGATAGCATGGAAATTAGACAAAATAATGCTAAATAACTGGGGAATCAATTATGTGAGCAACTGTGATAAATGATGAGAGTACAATCCTACAAAATGCAAAATTATGAACAGTTTCGTAAGGTACAAAAAGAATGAAAGATGAGTGGTTGCTACTTCTGAATAAGCGAATCCATTACATTAGCAAAATTGAATTATTATTACTATTTTTGGCAGTTTTTACATATAGCTGGTTCTTTACAGAAGTGCTTCCTAAAATCTGAAACATCTAATCGAATCACTTTTGATATTTCAATACAGATTTATCAGAAATTAAAAATATCCGTTACTAGTACATGATAAACAGTAAAATTTTCATGAAATACTAAATATTTAATTTTGTAATTTGGCATTATGGCAGGGAGAGTGTAAACAAAGTGTGCTTATGCTGCAATTTTCTAATGTTGTTATGATAACATCCCTCATTTAAATGGTTTATTACACATATATTTATCACAGTGTCAATTAATGCAACAATATATTAAGTGATAATTTACAAAAATTATCTTAAATACAAAAAATAAGACACATTTTTTGCAGAAAAACATATATGTAAAAAGCAAATAAACTGATCTACTCAAACAATTGATAAATTTGATAATGTTAAAAATATAGCTCTTACTCGAAAGTTATACACAGCACCTATATCAATTTTAAAAGGGCACTTTTGAACTACTTCCTTTCTCATATCATCTTCATCCTTGAATGACTGATATCGAATATAAACATCATCCTTCAATGTAAAAGAAAATTCTCTGTTTGTAAAAAGTTTATCTGCAAAGTGAAAATAAAATAAAAATAAAATTTCGATAATATCATAAAAACTTAAAACTACAGATATAGTCTATAGCGCACCATCATTATATCTTAACCATTTGTAGTACAAAGAAAAAGGGAAAAAACGATTGTAATAAGTTGGAAGTAAATCCGCGAAAGCACTTGGATCGAAAGAATCCAGGGTTTGTTCAGATTTAATACAGGCATTTTCCCTTATAGCAGCAAGAATTTTGTCATCACAGTCTATTTCCATTTCCGTCATTTTGCTTTACTAATTAATCAATTATAAGCAGCGGCACTACTTTCAAAACAGCAACTTAAATCATAACCACAATCCTACAAGCGAAAGCAGAAAACCCGCCAAAAATCGTTGCCGTTTTTTCTCAACTTATTACAGAATTAATAACAACGTTGCCATTTTCCTATTCTAATACTGAATAAAGAAACCTGCGCTTCTCAACCGGGATTTGCTATTCGTTCGCTATTCCTTTATTTAGTTATTGAATGGCGTGATTAATTGCTGAAGAAACCTGCTTCTCCTTTCAATTCAATATACAGCTCTTTTAATCTGTGGAAGAATTTTACGGGGATTTTATTTTTGATGAAGTCTCAACGTTCTGCGGAACTCCTTCAAAATTAATTTCCTATCACTAAGTCAGGCATTTTTATGCAATTGCTTCAAATATTTCGCAAAAATTTACAATAATATGCTTAATGAACATTTTTCCCATATGAAACTCCTATCTTTCGTAATAATTCCTTGGTAATCCTAGGCAGAGATCATAATTTATTTCACCAATGGTTGTGCATACTGAAGTATTTGGAGTCATGGGAAGAAGCACTAGTTTAACGACGATTTTAGTCAAAATGTTGAATTTCCATTTCATCAAATATTGTTATTCCAGATAGAGATCTTTCACCTTACCATCAAATTTCAATAAGGTTGTGTTAAGCAATGAGGGATCAACATAATACAAACGTCTCTCTTCTCCAAAGTTTCTGTCAAAATCGGCATATTGATATTGGTGAAATCAGAGGTGTAGCTAGGGTTTTCAGCGCCCAGAGACAACTGAAGATTTCGCGCCCCCTACTGCGTGCCAAGGATGAAAAACATTTAATTCTAAAATGTCGTAACATCAGTTTGGCGCCCCTTGGATTCTGCGCCCGAGGACAGATGCCCCCCTTGCCCCCCTCTAGCTACGCCCCTGGGTGAAATCTCTTCAACTAGTGATAATTTCTAGCATTTTTTGATTTCTTATTTGGTGACTTTCCTTCTTTATACCTCGCCAGGGCTTAATTTCTAAAATTACAAATACCGGATCCCAGTGGTGGATTGACCGAAGAATTCGACCCTGGCAGGAAAAAAAAAGTCTGCCCTAAGGACACCCATATGGAATGTCATTACACTTATAAGTTATAATTGTCATTATTATCATCATGAAAAATAATTTTATAAAATAAAAATATACCTTTGCGATACTGCGATATACTGTATTGTACTGGGTTTCTATTGCCGGAGCAATACTTCCCAGTCATGCAAGGAGTTCCATGCGGAGCCTGATCTTAGAAAATTCCTGATTGAGTTTCCTCTGAGGGTTTTCCTTTTGCAGAAAGATAACACTTTACTTCATATATATAAATAACAGTGACTAAATAATTATATACACAAAAAAGAACGGTTAATTCATAATCAGCCATTTAAATAGTTTTTAATTCCAGGTGCCTGGACCCTCCATTATGCCCTCCATTATGCCTTCAATTTTTGCTTTAACAAAATATCTTTCTCTATGTTCATCAATAGCAGTGACTCCAGATTAGCTTGCTTCATAGTACTCCTTAATTTACATTTTACCATTTTTAATTTTGAAATAGCTCTTTCGCATTCAGCTTGCGTTATAGACAGGGTGAGTACAAACTTATAAGCAAAAAAGACTTTGGCGTACGCATTACTATATAATCCAAGAGTAATTTATATACAGACCAGACGCAATTTTTTCAAAAATTACATATAGCTTTGGATGAATGCTCATTAATAGATACCAGAACACTCTCTCCTTCTGACTCGGTATCAGATTTAAAATAATGATTTTGAATTTAATTTTTTAGTATTTCCCATTTAATTGCTAGGTCTTGATATTCATCCTTAAGATTACCAATTATTATAGCTGCATAGTGTTCTAATAATATAGATGAATAGTCGAAAGAGTTCGGCGGCAATGGCTTCGAAAAGTTTTTGGGATCGAGAAGTGATGTGACTTTATATAATTTGGCTTACTTTACATAGGTGAAATGATGTTATCCATTATAAAATTACAGACAGTAACTTCGAATTGTTTGATAGAGCAATTGAAATTATAATCGGACGATTCTTCGTCGTCTAGTTGTTTCACTTTTCAGCATCTTCTAGAAGGTAGTTCTTCTTCTATAATTATATCACAACCCAGCCTTTCCAGTTTCTTATTGCAATCCATTGCAAACGATTTTAATGCGTTAAATGTTCAATCGAAGTTTCTAGAAATAGCTTATAAGGAGCTTGTAGCCTCCCTAACAATATTACATGTTAGAGTGTAATCTAATCCTTTAGTCTGCATATATTTGGTTGCTCAGGTTCTGATGCCAGCATTACATTTCTTTTAATCTGTTGACATTTTTTGTCTTCCTAATCTTCGATCATCATGTCCGTCTTACACGTCCTTCATAAAGGCTTAATAGCCAAACGAAAAGATGTACAATGACCTAGTGCTTTATCTCTATAAATTTCAGGCAATAATATGAAATTTTACTCCCGTAAATGTTTATTTTTAAAATCTGTTATTTTATTTTTTAAATTATCCTCCGCCTACAGACTCCTTTCCCAACTCCATTTGATATTTATTTTCTATACACAGGTTAGGTAACCTAGAGAAAAGTTGTATACTACAGAACCGTTAGGCTGACAATAATTTATTTAAAAATTTCTTCTGAGTTATTTTGCTTAGAAATTCAAGACAAGACTATAAGTCATTTGACCGCCTTTATGGGTTCAACAGTTGGAAAGTGCTTAATCCGTGTACCTATTTGGCAAGAACTTAGGAACTAAATTATTATACAGACGTCTTCCGTGTTACGAATGGCCTCCACATCGAACATCTGGGCGTGTCCATAGATATATGAAGAGTTATGCGTTCACGTTATATCTGCATTTGCGAAATTAATTCATTATAGTCCAGACAGACATGTTTTCTTTCTGTAACATTAGTTTTGATTTTCGATGTATTTGAAAAACAACTTAAAATTAAACAGCTACTTAAAGAGTTCGGCTGGTAGACAGACGAATACGTGCTCGACGAAGCGTTTATGTAGCCGGCATGAACTGCTCGATTTATTAGCAATAGGTTATGTATGTACACAATTATCGTAACAATTCAAGAAATGGTTTAGAGAATTTTCAATGATACGCAAGAACTTCGTTATCTTGCAGAATCATTAGGATTTCTGATGCGGGAGGTATGAAAAATGAGCAATGCCCTCGCCGGGACTCGAGCCGTTACCTCTCGAATACGCGCGGAATGTGCTACCGTAACACCGCGAAGGTATGCAGAAGAAAGGGAGAAAATACCTTATAATATATGTCCAAAATTACCAGGACAATTCGAGAGATAGTTTCAAGAATTTTCAATGATGTGTATGAAGTTCGTTTTCTATGTCCAGAATTATCGGGATGATTAGAGAGATAATTTTGAGAATTTTCAATGATGTGCATGAAGTTCATTTTCTATGTCCAGAATTATCGGGATGATTAGAGAGATAATTTTGAGAATTTTCAATGATGCGCATGAAGTTCATTTTCTACGTCCAGAATTATCGGGATGATCAGAGAGATAATTTCGAGAATTTTCAATGATGCGCAGTGGTAGATTCCGTTGCATGCTACGATGAAATACTGTATCAGTCAGGGCCGTCAAAAAAGATACTAATTATAAAAAAAAAAAAAAAAAAAAAAAAAAAAAAAAAAAAAAAAACTGAAATTGCAATCATATTCTTTTTTTGGTGTATTCTTGTATTCTTCTATACTGTGTATTGTTGTTCTTTATGTTAATTGAATGGAGAAACAAAATTATTTTGTAAGCAAAAGTCTAAACAAGTTAATAGCTTATTTTTAAATAAATATTCTTTCTTGATTAACAGTTTATCTGCAGTGCTCGTTGACGTGTATCATTTAATTCATCGCTTCTAAAAGACGACTTATGAGTTAAAAAAAAAACTACTCAGTTTTCTTTTAAATCATGATTTGCAATTTACTCAATGTTGCCCAGTACAAAAGTTAAAATTTTTTATTTTCTTGGGACTGAACTTTTCTGAACACAAAACAGTAGATATACGATGTATATTTTCATATTTATATCTAATCACGTTAATCACATATTCATTAATTTACTTCAAAAATTCTTTTGTATTCAGAACATGCCTCATTATTTTTTAAACGATATAAATTTAGACTTGCGGCTTTCAAACGTTCGTAAAATGTATGATGCGGCTCCCATCGTCTTGAAGTTTAGACATTCGTGTTATATAATTTTGAATGCGAGTTTCTGACGATTCGTGTAGTGCAATGGTGCCTGAAGTAACGAACGCTATCGATTTTAGAACTGCTGTCGTCGTCTGGAAAGCCGTTTTCCGTAGCATACTACGGGAATAATTTAATTCTTTCAATTTAAAGGGGAAAAAGTTACTTTTATAATGTATGTTCACAATTTTATAGTTTTTCAGTTTAGTTTACTATGTCTTCCCAGTGTCTCACTGGAGGTGAAAAATTCAGCTTCTGTTGTCCTTTCATATCTGGTTTTTTGATTTTGACAGGCATTGGTTCAGGGCCGGCGCTAGACATTCTGCCGGCCGTTTCGATATCTTTTCCCCCCAACGCCTGCCTAAATTCAAAAAATGTCCTTCCGCTCTCCTCTAAATCCTTCCACCTGATGCAGCAAGTACAATTAGTTATCTACCATCTGCCCGGTACAGCAAGACCAACTAGATACCTAGTAGATATCTACTAGGCATCTAGTTGGCCTTGAGTGCAGCTACACAGATTACTACGGCTCTAATATCGGCCCAGTAACGGTTTCAGGAAATTGTGTAAAGTAGTTAGCTTCTTCTATTTCTTCTTAATGATCTTGAGGTAGCACATGTCATTGTCATTGAATAAATAAGTTTACAACTCTGCGTATCAGGTGGAGTGGAATATCTCTTATATCAGGCCTGGACATTTCTTAAGAAAGTTCCTGACGACTGAAGTAATCCTGGGCTCTTTTCGTTTACTTTTCCTTATTGGAAGAAAATTCTTCAAGCTCTTTAGTTAACTTTAATTCAATCTGACGTCTTCCTCGTGTT